AACATGGTCTGAGCGCTCTCATGGAAGCACAAGCAAACAGTTGTGGTAGCACAGGGAGGAAGCAGTTTATTCTGACTTGGAGATTTGGAGAAGACTTCACTGAAGAAGGGGCATTTATGTTGAGCTTTGAAGGTAGAGTAGGGCAAAGGTATTCCAGGTTAAGCAAATAACCTGAACAGTGTCGGGCGAAGAACCAGTCTACCCTGACTGGAATGTAGGGAATGTCAGAGGGGTGAGTGGGATATAAGCCTGGAGAGAGCTCATAGGCATGGATCAAAGGGCTTGAATGTAGGAGAGTTTGATCTTATTTTGTAGGCAATGGAAAGCCACCAATAGTTTTAGTTGGGGAGGAATGTGATTAAGCCTGCTTTTTATAAAGATTAATCTGGCAGTAATAGATTGGAGACAAGACAACTGTTCCCGGTATCAGGTCTTTACTGGGGTGATAAGAGTAAGATTGGAAAGGGGAATCAAAATGAAAAACGTTGCAAAGGCAGAATGGGCAGGTCTTGTTGATGAAGTTGATTCTGATCGTGGGTATTTGAGGCAGTAGTAGCATTAATCATCATAGAATGCAGGAGGAAGGGCAGGTTTAGGAGCAAAGGTAGAGTTCAGTTTGGGTCATCCTAAAAACACACTATTCCCTGCCTAGTTCCCAAGACTTTCCTCCCCTTTCTTCTTAGAATTTCATTATAACAAGTGATGTTGTTTCTTAGGTGACTGTATCTCACTTGTCATTGACTAGTCCATGTTCTCTGGTGAGCTTTGCTTGTCAACATACACGCAAAACAGATATAAATACAAAAAGTCAACTCAGGTGCTGATGAGGGTGATGCCATCATTGCATCATCAATTTAAATTTAGAAATTAATTTAAAATAGAGAAATGCAAAAGGTATAGCAATGCTTTTATCACATGTACAGTCTTAAATGCCACTTTTCTAAAGAGAAGGCTCATGGAGATACTCCTTTCCTGTTAAAAAATCCATTATACCTGAGATAAAACCAATTGTGTTCAGTTGTATTAGATTCATGTGCAAATAATAACTTAGGTAGTTAACTCTACATTGTCCTAAGCATATAAAATAAGGAAAATAAATAGATGCATGGTCTCTTAGGAAACCTACCATTTTAGAACGTGAGGCTAATTTGGGAGCTGCCAGAGCATCCTGATTAAGGCTGTGGAAAGAAGTTGCAGATTGATGACGTCTTGGAAGTAGTGACATTTTTTTAAAAAAATATTCCTTGGCAAGATAAGTAGACTGTCATTTACAGAAAACACACTTTATGTTTTAGTTAATGAGACACTGTGGTAGACTGAATCATTGTGCCCAATACTTCACTCCTTTTCTGTGTTAGAATTAATCATCCATGTCCTTTGCCATATGACATTGCCATTCCTCCCAGTGTTTCTCCAACTTGCTAAAGTTGGGCTTGATCATATGACTTATTTTGGTCAATAGAATGTGGATGGAAGTGACAGGGGGCCCATCCTGGCCAAGGCCTTAAGAGGCATCCTATGTTTGCTCTCACTCTCTTGTGCCCCTCTTATTCATCAGGAGAACATGGCTCAGGAAGCCACTGGACAAAGAGAATGTGAGATACATGGAGCAGGCCTGAACCAGACCTACTGCCTGAAGTAAAGCTACGCAGCTGACTTGCAGAGCCACAAACATGAAAATCAATGTTTACTGTGAAACTGAAACTTTGAGGTTGTTATAAGAAATTTAAAAACTAAAACTAACACAAACTGAAAGAAACATATGGTTAGTGAGCACAGCTAACTATAAGCAACTGTCATGTTCTAACAAGATACCAACTATCAGAATATGAATCAGAGAGGGACCAGACCAATTTGGGTGAAATTCAGCTCATCTTTCAAACTGACAATAAATGAGAATATGTTTTAATAGTAATTTTACTATTCCATGGTAAACTTTGCTCCGTGAGCTATTAAGAAACTAATCTTTATTTTAATATTCAAATTTACATTTTGACTATAGAACATAGGCATCAAAATTATCTTGTATCCTTTTTGAATACAGACTAAATTTTCCAAATGTCTTTCATCAGGCACCCTGGCCTTGAATAACAGGGATCTCTGCCTTCACAAAAAAGGCCACAAAACCTGAAGAATAAAGTGAAATTCTGAGCTGGGATCTTAAAAGCTTGTTTAAAAATAATGTTAAACTTCATATATAACAAATAATATCAAGAATGTTTTAGTGTCTCTAACTCTTTAAAAAAAATCTTCCCCTCAAGAGAAAGATAAAGGATTATTGCCTGTGTCTTTTTAGCTTTGAATGTATTTTTAGACATGTGCTGTCCAATATGGTGGCCCCTTGTCACATGTGGCTGTTGAGCACCTGAAATGTAGCTAGTCCTGATTAAGATGTGCCGTGTGTAATATACACAATAGATTTCAAAAACTTAATATGAAAAAACAAATATCTCATTAATAATTTTTATGTTAATTATGTGTTGAAATGATAATATATTTTGGATATAGTCACTTTATTAAACTCTCTTAGTTACCCAGTTTGATTGAATCATCTTTTTCTTACAGAGATCTTGATTGATACAACATTAAAATGAAATATACTTTTTTTGTGTGTGAGGAAGATTAGCCTGAGCTAACATCTGTTGCCAATCCTTCTCTTTTTGCTGAGGGAGATTGGCCCTGGGCTAACATCCATGCCCATCTTCCTCTACTTTATATGGGATGCTGCCACAGCTTGGCTTGACAAGCGGTGCATCGGTCTGCGCCCAGGATACAAACTTGCAAACCCCGGGCCGCCGAAGTGGAGTGCACAAACTTAACCACTACACCACCAGGCTGGCCCCCTGAAGTATACTTTATAACTTTTATGTATATTGCATTTTATGTTTCTTACTAATTTAAGAATTGGGTAAGGTGAAACTTTTATGTTTCTCTCTCTCTCTCTCTTTCTCACACACACATACAACAGCCTATTGAAGTAACTTCATTCTTTCATCTACAGAAGCAACCACTTCTAATTTTTCCCCCTATGGGTTCATAGAAAAAAAGTCTCCCACCTTCTAAAGGAATGGGGTCACCAGAACCAAGTCTGGGTGAAAGTCCAGGAAGTAATGGTAATCATTTATAACCAATGGCCAAACCAATATTAAAATTAGTTGATAGTGACACATTTTATTTGGCTTTCCTCATCCAGAATGGCCCAAAGCAGATTCCTAGATCTGCCTCAAAGCTAACTTTCCCTCCAACAGAAATGAGATTAGGTTGTGCCTGCTGATTGGTTCCATGATTTGAGATTTTTAACAAGTGGAGTTTGGCTCCCAAATACCTTAAAGGATTTTTTTTGGACCCAGGCAACAAGACAGAAATGGAATAAGAAAAGATTTCAGTGTTTACTGAAGGAAACTTGTGAATTCTAATTCCAACTTGCTGAGGGGCAGTGTTTAGAAAAGAAAAAGCAGTAAACTTGGGGCAGAAGACATGAGTTTGAGTATCAACTCTGCCATATACTAGCTTGTGTGACCTTCATTTGCAAAATGGAAATAATACACCCTCGTGGGTTTTTTTTAAGGATCAGAATAATGTGTACAACAGTCCTTTGTATATGCAGAGATAAGGAATAAAGGGGCTGATATTGGCTCTATTAATAAATAGACCTTTTATTTTTATCATTATCATCAACTACTGTTTATTGATGCTGAACTGCTAAGCAGTAAGCAAGCAGTATAATTAAGAAGCCAGAAGTATGGGAATCATTGATTAGCATCATATGCCATGTATGTTACCATGCAAAATACATGAACAGAATATTGGTGTTACCATGACAGCCTTTGTGGGCTTAAAGCAATGTTAAATCACAAGTCCATCAGGGAACAGGTCATCTGTCTACTACACTTCCCATCATGCCCATAAGCCCTGTATTTGTGCAGAGTTAAGTGCATGCTTAGAAGTCATAAGGAGACAGTCTAGTACATTCAGGAGAGAAAATAATGGTTAAGTGAATGCCAGGCGTTAGCTCAGACATTTGGGCAAGTGACTTAACCTCTCTGAGCCTCAGTTTCTACTTCTATGAAGTGAGAGTGGTAGTAGCTACCTCCAGATTACTGTGAGGATTAAATGAGAAAATGAATGTAATGACTCGAGCGCGGAGCCTGGTATAAAACAAATGCTCAGTAAATACTAGCTATAACGATATAATCAACTACCACTAGAAAGAGTTTAAAGGTGTCCTAATTTGGCTTCTCATTCCTAATCAAGGTACAGCAAATTCAGTTGTGAGCAGAAAGGAAAAAGTTCCTGTCCACAGCTTTATTAAGCTTATATTCACCTGGATGTTGTCAAAAATGACTTGATTATTCAAGAGATAAGGGACATTTGGCTTCTAGTTTGTGGAAGAGCTTTTCCTCCCCCTCCACCCTGCATCAACTCAACAATCAGTCCCCAAATCCAGAGATGGAGAGCTTGGGACAAGGTCAGAGCAACACATCACCACTCCATCCTGCTCAACAGGTAACTCTTACAATAGTCCTTAAAGGGAGGAGGTACACGGTCTCTTAATGTTTCTGTGACAAGATCCATAGCTGCTGCTTCTCCCACAAAACATTCCACGGAGTAAGTAAATAGAGCCCATACTTGTGTGAGAGGGGTGGCAACAACACTTTCAGATCTGGTTCTTGGCACATTTCAATGTGTAAATACCATGACAGTGAACAGGCATGCCACTCTACACTAATGCAGCTCTCTCACTAAATTAAACCATGGAACAATAAGATATGGCATGGCTTTAAAACTCAATGGGCATCTTTGTGGTGCAGTTGGTTAGCATATTTGGCTATTAACTGAAAGTTTGGTGGTTCAAGCCTACCCAGGGATGGTCTTGCCTGCAGCCAATTTCTTGGTGATGAAAGTGTTCTGAAATTAGATAGTGGTAATGGTTGCACAACATTGTGAATGTACTAAGCGCCACTGAATTGTATGTGTTAAAATGGTGAATTTTATGTTATATGCATTTTACCGCAATAAAAATAAAACACCAATAGATGCATCGGAGGATGCATCTTCCCGACCCTGTGTTGCAACTGTATTTTTCTTCCTGACATGTATACACCTATCATGTAGTATGCCCTGATATCTGAATGCTTATATGTGCATCAGCTTTTCTCTGGTCTGGGTGTTCCACTCTGTAGCATTTTGGCATCACCTGGGAATATGTGATTCATCCACATCCCTATTTTGGATTGGATTAAGTATTGTATTAACTGCACAAGCACATAAATTCCCTTGTAAGACTCTTTGGCCCTAGCACATATTTGCCTAGTCTAGAAAGTTCTCCCAGGCAAAGGGCAGGCTGGGAATTGGATGTGTGTCTGCCCTCTCCAAAGGCATTATATGGCTTTCTTAATAATGGGAAACAGGAGAGAGAAAGCGTCTGTAAGAGTACAACCGAACCAGTTCCTGAGATGCTTCTTTTAGCCAGCGCAACTTCCAGCAGAGGACTCAGGACTCTCAGTTCTTCTGGACAAAGTCAGTATTGTTCTTTTATAAAGCAAAGATCACGAAAGGTGGTAGGTCTTTAAGACCTACACAAGCACAGAGTACAAAAGAGAAAGAGGAGAGTTGGGAAAGACTCACAAAAGAGACAATGTCTGCCAGGAAGTCCTTGAGGCAGAAGGTGGTGAATACCTCCCACAAGAGGCTTCAGCAAAAGCCAAGGAAGCTTCATGTTGGTCAAGACTGGCCTTGGTGAGCAAGGAAGGAAGACCTTATACATCATTTTGGAGGAAAGTGCTCCCTGGGCAAGTTTTTTTCTCACTCCAGCCAGCAGATTTCAGTTGCTCCTCCTATACCCTGTCTTTCCAGAAATCTGAAGGCTTGTGAAAGATAAACATGCCTATGATGGCCACTATGACCAGGATCAGGGAGAAGAGGACCATGAGGAAGACATAGGTGGAGTGGGGAAGAGGTGTGGACAACGGCTGCTCAGCTGGGATCATGTTGGTCAGGTTCAGCATGTAGCCCAAAGTCCACCCGACGTTGCTGCTCCGGATCTGCAAACAGTGGGGAAAGTCCATTGATTCTGGTCCGAGTATTAAATGAGCTTTCATGCAGCCCCATCCATAACACTGAGCAACCAGGAGGTGGAGAGCACCATGTTCAGTTCTCTAAATGGGTTACTTTTATATTCTAAACTGGACATATGGTAGTGGGGAAAACAGAGCAGGAGCAAGTGATTAACAAGGAGAGTTTGGAGCCTCACTACTGTATTCCCAAAGTTCAGGAAGGAATTTGGTGAATGACTGCCCAATTCTCCTCCCTAGAAGAATTTAATTCAAATAGGCCTTGGGAGATTTGCATTCCTCTTTTGTTTTTTGTGAAGGTTGAGGGGCTGGGGGGTGACAGGAAGCAGGGAAAGGAGGAGAGAGCAATGATTGTCTCTGGTCTTTTACATGTATGTCAGGCCCAGGAATCTCATACATACAAAACCAGGACTTTATGATTCAACTAGGGAAAAATTGGGGGATAACCCCAAGTCAGTCTTACTTTATGGAAGTTGAAAGACTTCATGCAGATACATGAGATAAAACACGCTCTGACTCCACCACCTATACTTCCCCACTCAGAAGTTGCTGCTATTATCATTTTGTGAGCTCTCTCTGAATGTTTTTTCTTACAAAAAAATGGAATTAAATTGTATGTAGAATTCTTCACTTAAGAATACCTTATAAACATCATCCTATGTCTCCTAAGGGATTTCTAAAACATCACTGGCATGAACTGCCTTAAATGTTCATTTTTACTCACTTTATCCAATTATTTATAAATCCTAGAAATGGAGTAATTGGATAAAATGATGTACATATTTTAAGGTTCTTAGCACATATTGCCAAAACAGTCTCCTCAAAGGTTGTGCAAGTTTACATTCCAGCCAATAACATGTAGAAATGCTCTTTTCCTTGTAACCCTTACCAGTACTGGGAATTAATAACTTGTAATAGGTCCACCTCCCTTTATGGGGGACAGGAACCTTATCTGACTGCATGTGTCAAGGAAGTCTCCATAGTTAGAGGAGTTGTCACCTAGGGTTTAGAAATATTGGATCATTTGTTGGAGTTCAAAGAACATAAATCACTTGTATATTTGACAGACATATCTTTTAAACAGACAAAATAAACTGTGATGAAATGGAAGGAAGACTGGGATATTAAAACAAGAAAATATTTGCGTTTGAATTAGCAAGGTCAGTATTGACAAGAGAGTAATGAAACTAGTACCCTCAAGGCTGCTACAGCCCTCTGCCACAATGCTTTGTTTTGCTTGAAATCACCGTACATTTAATAAAGAGGGTAAATTGTTTTTGCCATTAGTGGGTATGAGTTTAAAAGGTAGAAAAACACTGCTCTTGATATTTTTCATCAAGCGTGAGTTGCCCATGAGATGCGCAGCTGGGGTAAATGTCTCTCTATGCCTGAATCCCTGCAGGTGGCGCTACAGTAAAGCATGACAGTAAGGTTGCTTCTTTAAGGCTCCCGCCAAGCCTGGCTTCTAAGCAAAGACCCCCATTCACAGCCACTCATCCCCTTCTTCACGAGCTTTCAGACTGGTCAACCTTGAAGCTACAACTAACAAGGCCTTCATCCCTTAGAAGAAACCAGGATCACCCTTTCCAGATTTGTGGAAGGGGTGTTCGGGATGAATGTTGAAGTCAGCACATGGAATCACTGTGGCTACTTCTGAAATACCATTACACTACTTTAATATCTCATTTTTTTGTTTTATAAGGAATTAGTCACTGTTATGTGAGCAGAAAGGCAAGGCTGAGAACACAGGTAGCTCTCCTTAGATAGGATACCCACACCTGGCTGGTAGACGTACCCAGGAGGGCTTGACACAAAATGCCAGCTTGGGATAGAGGTGAAGTGGTAGAACAGGACATCAGGCCAAAATTTAAATCAGGTTGACTCCTACCCCTTTCGAGCCCAAAGCTGCTTCAGTTACTACCACCCAACCTCTCCCCAACCCAACAAGTACCCAAATTACCTTGCCCATGAAATGAATATGCTTCCAGGAATCAGCTGTGAAATGATAGCCGTTCAGAAGGAGAGAGAGGATGTAGGTGCCAGAAAAGCAGTATTCACTCAGGTACTTCTCTTTCACTTCACCAAAATTTATCTTCAGCTGTAAGCGAAGTGAAGGAAATATCATACTTGTACAACAGGCACCTCTCCATAGCCCTCTTTTTCACTATTAGAGCTGATCAAGAGAGGAGGAAGCCCCAGCTCACGTGGGCCTGAGAGCTGGCCTCTCCAGAGGGCTGTGGGAGTGGTGCTGCACTCCTTCAGTGGGCACAGGAGTTTATAGTTTAGGGTCTGTTAAGGAAACTTTTCCTCCACAGGGTTCTATGAGATATCAATAAGTGCTCTAAGGAAAAAGTAGTGTCTGCGGTCTAGTAGATTTAGAAACACTGAAGTTTAGTATACTTTTTTTACCCCTTGTGAACTTGAGCTTCATAATCACATTAGCATATTAAAAGCTGTAAAAAAATCTTGCATGAAAGAAATTTGTTAATCTTTGTTGAATCAGTTTTCTATATGCTCTTGAGCACAGTCTTTGGTTCAGAGCCTCTACAAGCATCTTAAGGAAATAGTGTCATAAAAAGCCTTACCACTCAGTATCAGCAACCCCTAGGAGCTTGATAGTCCTCACCCCAGAACTATCAATGCCAAATTCGCTTTTTAATACGATCCCACACAGCTCTGAAACACAGTTTAGGAAGCACTTTGCTCAGAACTACTAAAAGTGCCAACATCTCACCTTCTGTCCACTGTCCTTACCTGACCTCTCTTTTTTTTGCATCTGAGTCATGCAAAGGGGTCTTCTTGAATCCTTCAAGTGTTTACTCACCCAACCCCCAAATGAAGATATGAAGGGCTGCCTGCCCACCCTCGCCCTTACCTCTCCTGGTTGTTGTAAATATATGCCCAGATGCCCACAGCTTGCTCTGCTCCTCTCCTGCCCTCAATTAGAGGGCAACAGGCCGGGACATCTCTAGCTCAGCCCAGAGTTCTCTCTGCTGCCCTATTCCTCAGCCCTTGAGATAGGCATTCCTCCTGGACACCCCAGGCAGAGAGAGAACTAACATTTGCTAAGCGTATATCATGTACTAGGAATTATGCCAGATGTTTTATATGTAGGATCTCCTGGCTGCCTGCTCACCCCCTTTTGCCCAAATTTCTTTCCCCTCCCAAGGAACATCCCATCTCAAAACCCTAACTGCTGCCTGGGGTTTGTTTCTCACTTGGCTCCTGCTAGCCACCCAGTCTCTAGAAGGCTAAGTCCACACCTAGGCTGCCTTGTCCTGCTCTGATGGAATTCTTCAAATGACCCAGCTTGAAACTATCTTTTTGTTACAGTCCTGGAAATTACTCTTTGATCAACTCCTCTGCATGGGACGTTCTCCTGAGACCTTGCTGTGACATCAATTGAATTTACCTATCCAGGTCCCTACCCCTTTTCTTTTAGTAACTGCACTCTGCCTTTCCTTTGTGGAAAGACCCCTTCTCTCATTTGATGTAGTCTTGGTGGGCCTATCAAACAAAGAACCCCTAGGGGATACAGAATTCCAAGAATCTACTTGAGCCTGACTTGAAAATGCTGCAACCCCATAGGTTCTTGAAGGCTGGCCTATCCCTTGGGAGAATGCCATTTGGGCCTAATTTCCCTGAATTCTTCAATGTTCCCACCTCCCTCCTCTTTCTGGAAAGCTGTAGATTGGCTATGCAGTCTAACCTGCTGAGGATTAATTATGATAGTAGCCAACAATATAGAAGCCAAAGACATCTACCTGGTTCATCAATCTAGAATTGATCATTTTAATGTTTAATGTTAAATACTATGTGCTCTCCAAATGGGAAGATAGTCTGCCTTCCTCACTCTTCTCCTCTCTGTCCTTCTCTCTTTTCTATTCCCAGGGCAATGGGACAGTACCAGTTTCCCTCCTCCCCACCCATTTCCCCTTACCACCCCCCCATATGAAGGGACATGGCAAATCTTGAAGAATGGGATGCATTTCCCTAGAAAGGCTAAAAGTCCATGAGGTTGAATGTCAGGACCCAGAGTATACTGAGAAATACCCAGTTATTATACATAGAGTCTTATAGCATTGTTCTCTTGGGCTGAGTGTATCTTGGATGACCAGATTTTCAGAGTAGAAAAGTGATTATGTTCTGGTTGTCAAAAGATTTTTACCAGCCCTCCAATCAACCTGCCAGAAGACAAGCATGAACTGCCCCTTCCACTCATTTTCCTAGCCTCTCTACCTCAGGGACCCAAGGATTTGGGACACCCTGCTGGACATCAGTGGGTATAGTTTGCATTATTTTCCCCACCAAAGCAGGGACAGGCAGCACAATATAGTATGCGTAAAGCATCTAGTCCATTTTTCAGCACATAATATATGCTTAACAGTTGTTAGTTCTCTCTCTGCCAAAGGTGTCTAGAAGGGACATTCCTAAACTCAAGTCTCACCAGGATAGCAGTGCTTCCTCAGGTTGAAGTAAGCGGGAAAAGAAGAAGAGTTACCCTATAACAGGGCACTTGACAGAACTATGTTTTTTATATGGATGGACAATGCAGTTGGGAAAAATGAAGTCATAACACCTGAGTCATAACACCCATCTCAACATTTTAGGCTCTGGGTCTCACCCTGCAATTCCATCCCCCCAAATATTTCAGAATTTCTCCAAATGCAGTCCTTTCTGTGCTTACTTCCAGGCCCTCTGAGCAATTCCTCATGTGGCTTATCTGAGCAGACCTACAGGTCTGTATATAAGTGTTCCCAACCTAATGTAATCTGATGAAATAAAAAATTAGATGAGGGTAAGGAGAGAAAATTTGACAGAGCTTCCACTCTGAACAAGAAGTAAGTTTTTTCAAAGAGCAGCCTAAATCTACCTCCTCAGCAGCTATACATAAGATTGGTCTCAAGTTGCCTCAACTCCAAGATGCTGATCTTCCTCCACAGATCTCCACTAGTTGAAAAAGCCTCCCCTAAGTGTTTTGTAAACTGTTAAGTACTGAGGCATATTTAAGTGGTTCTTTCCGAAAGCCCTGAATACTCTTCCTTCACGTTCTAACTCTGACAAAATACTTAGGGAACATTCCAAACCTCCAGGCTCTTGCACAACCTTCCTTCCCCATTTGTCAGTGCTGATGACAACAGCATCAATTTTTAATTAATTGCATTTCTTAAGAATTGCAACTGCGTCAATTTAAAACTGCTGCTGTTTTGAGCTAGCCCTAGCTGATCTTTTTAAATCAGAGTAGACCTCATACGTCTCTCCTCCTTGGAAACTTTCATCAGGTAGAGCTGGATCTTGAACGACTCAGTATCTCAGACAAGAAAAAAATGTGTGCTTCAAATTTATGAATAAATAGGAGATATCTTGGACCTGGGCAATGGAGAAAGGGTCTTACCACAATGGTATCTGGGGCAGATTACGTGAATTGCCTATCTTCCTTGCTAATAAAACTCAGATTTGGGGGTTGGGAGGGGGAGTGGACGACAATGTGCCTGGCTCTAGGAAGCAGTTCATGATGGATCTAAGGCTCTAAACCAGTCATAAAATCCTGCATCTTGCTTTCCCAGCCAGTCCTGGCCAATGAGATATAAGAGAAAGACGTACCTCTTCCCAAGTCTGAGAGCAGAAATTTTCCATCGTGGCAGTCACCTTTTCCTGAGAGGGAGTTTCCTCTAATGATGTAAAGTTTAAAAACTCCATCACATAGTAAAAAGCTGAAAATGCCTGCAAAAGAAAAATGCAGGGTTTTGCTCTGTGTCCAACACAGAGGGACACTGACTCACTCTCCAGAAGGCTGAACCCCGAGTGAAGGTCCCTGGAAATCTCTGTTGAGTAAATTAATGGACTAAGTGATATTCCAGACCCAAGAGCTGTTTCCTTCCTGGAAGAGGGGTCACTTTGCTGCTGACATGCATTTCTGAGCCACTTGGTAGCTAATTTTCTCTATAATTTTAGTGAGAGAGTCAGGGAGAAAGAAAGAAGGGGAAAAAAGAAGAAAAGAGAGGAAGAGGTTACAAAAATTGCATCTTTAAAAAACTATTATATATGAAATTTTTAATAAATAAAAACTGGAAAATTCTATACAAAGGTATTACAAGTTATCTCTGAATGGCAAAATTATAAGGTGTTTTTTCCTTTTTATTTGTGCTTTATTTTGTGCCTATTTTCTAAAATGTACATGTACTGCTTTCTTTAAATAGCCCATCTTTATTTAACAAATATTTATTTCAGGTCTATCATGAGCTAGGCACAACTGAAAAGTTTTAAAAAATCATTATTATCATCATACTTGAGAACTATAGAAAAAGTTAAAAGTACAAGTGAGTAAAAAATAAAACATTCTATTAAAATGACCCCAAATTCTACCACTTAGAGACAAACTACTATTAAATATGATACATAGGCTTCTAATCCTTTTTCCTCCACTCTAATATATACATAAAATTTTTATTATACTTTAAACAATCCTATAGCTGCCTTTTTGACCCTTTTAATATAGCATGAATTTAAAGAGAAGAAAATAATTGAGCAGAGCTTGCTAGATGAGGCAACTCAAACCCCAACTCTAGTGCTTTTTCTCTGTCTTGCCCTAAATGGTGCCAGATTTTAGGGGAAATCACTTTGGATGTCATAGGAGCACATCATGTGTTTACTCAACCAACACCCTGAGAGCTCTGTGTGCTAGGCACTGGGTGGAGTCAGAGAGCCTCCTGTGATTTGTCAGAGGGAACAAAGGGCTCTCCCTGTGCTAGAAGTGGTTTGGCTTAGGGATTATATTTTGCCTTCTGTAAAATTACCAAACACGAAGTGAATGTAGAGAGGAAATGTTACTTTCAAACAAGCAAAGCAACTTCCTATGTAATTCTCACGGGCAAAGACACATGAGGGCAAAGAAACAGGCTTCCAGAGGTCAAAGAAACAGGAGTTAGTGGGGATCCCATTGGGGGCTCGATTCTGACTCAGAGAACAGGAAAGATATCCTCTACCAGGAAAGTTCCTGCTGCAAACAGGGTTTATGCTTCAATTCCAGCCAAAATAAGTCCAATGCCAGCTTCTTAAAAAATGCATTATTTAAAAAAATATTCTTATACATATATAAAATATCTAATTTAACAAAAATGAATAAGTGTGAGTGTATCTGTCCTTTTTAATAAGTTTTCCTTGCTTTTTCATTTATTTTTTGGCTTAATTTTCTCCTCTACTTCTATTTCCAATGGGAGCCAATGTTAACAACTTAATATGAAGCCTTCATTTTTTCCCCCATTGCTCATATAATCATACAAACATGTATATATACAGGATTTGTTTTTTAAAATGAAATTTTAAACACATTCTACATCTTGCTTTTCTTATTCAACAATCCTTTGTGGAAATCCCTCCAAGTCAGCTGGGGACACTCTAATGGCTACATAAGAGTCCATGGTGTGAATGTATCATAATTCATTCAACAACTCCCTACTGGTGGGCATTTCTTTGATTCCAGTATTTTTGCCTATGAGCAATGTTGCTATAAATAGCTCTGTACAGTTAGCCTCTGAACTGGTGTGCTCATTCCTTTGGGCAAGTTGATGTCCATAGGAGCTCTGAAAGCCTCCACATCCCTTGAACTCTGGAATTCCAACACTTTAAATATTGTATGCCAGTTGCAGAACAAGATCTTGGTATGGCTTTATTACTACCATCTTAACCCAAGCCACCAGCATCTCTTGTGTGGACACTGCAATGGCCTCTTATTTGGTCTCCACGTTACCTTTCTAGACGTGTTCCAATCCATCCTGCACGTGGCAGTCACAGGAATCTTTTAAAAACAAATTTGATCATATCACTCCTCTGCTTAAAGCCTTCAGTGACTCCTAATTATACCTAGAATAAAGTCCAAACTCTACCAAGTCTCTCAAGGCCAGGCATGTTCTAACGCTTCCCACCTTGCCACTACCATCTCATACCCCTGCCTACCTTGCCCACTACACGCCAGCCACCCTGGCCTTCAATCACTGCCAAGCTTCCTCCCTTCCCCCCGCCCAGGGTTGCACACTTGCTATTCCTTCTGTTGGAATTCTCTTGACTTCTATATCTCCTCCTCAGAGAGGTCTTCCTATCACCCATCTAGACTAGGACGCTCTGTTATTCTCCTTCACAGGACTCTGTTTCTTCCTTCCCAGCAGTTGCCACAGTCCCATTTGCTTTGGTTTGTTTGCATTTCTGGTCTTTTGTCTGCCAGCCTTCTAGAATGCCAGTTCCATGACGGCAGGGGCCTCATCTGCCTTGTTCTTAGCTGAATCTGTAGCACTAACATGGCACTTGGCACATGGAAGAGATCTATAAATGTTTAAGTGACAGAAAACTGCTCTCTCTCTCTCTCTCTCTCTCTCTCTCGTTCCTAGAGCACTGGCTAGAATGTAAGAGACACTTGGTGAATTTCTGTTGATTGAGAGACTGTATATATCCAGAGACTGGATAGCTATGATATGCATAGCTAATGCCTGGAAGGCTCCCTCCATTAATTAAAACTATTAAGCGTGTTTTTCTCTAGTGAAGTGATTGTGAGACAGGAGGGAGGGGTGAACTTTTTAGTTTTACTTTAAAATTTTTATTTTTATTGTAAAAGAACATTTAACATGAGATCTCTCTTAACAAATTGTAAAGTGTACAATACAATATTGTTAACTATAGGGACAATGTTGTATGTCAGATCTCCAGAACTTAATCATCTTACATAACTGAAACTTTATGCCCATTGATTAGCAACTCTCCATTTTCCCCTCTCCCCAGCACCCGGTAACCACCATTCTACTCTCTGAGTCTATTTGGTTTATTATTTTAGATACCTCATATAAACGGAATCATACAGTATTTGTCCTTTTGTGACTGGCTTATTTCACCTAGCATAATGTCTTCAAGGTTCATCTTTGTCATATATCACATTATTTCCTTCTTTTAAGGCTGAATAATACTCTGTTGTATGTATAGACCATATTTTCTTTATCCATTCATCTGTCAATACCCATCAATAGACCTTTAGGTTGTTGCCACATCTTGGCTATTTTTGAATAATGCTGCAATGAACATTAGAGTGCTAATATCTCTTCCAGATCCTGATTTTAATTCTTTTGGATAAAATATCCAAAAGTGAGATTGCTTGACCATATGGTATTTCTATTTTTAATTTTTTGAGGAATCTCCATACTGTTTTCCATAGCAGCTGCACCATTTTGCATTCCCATCAACACTATATAAGAGTTCCATTTTCTCCACATCCTCACCATACTTGTTGTCTTTTGTTATAAGGTGATATCTCATTGTGGTTTTGATTTGCATTAACCTGATGATTAGTGATGTTGGCCTAGTGATGATACCTGTTGGCCATTTGTATGTCATCTTTGGAGAAATGTCAATTCAAGTTTTTAGCCCATTTTTTAATTGGGTTATTAGTTTCTCTCGCTATTAAGTTGTAGGAGTTCCTTATATATTTTGGAAATTAACCTCTTGTCTGATACACGGTTTGCAAATATTTTCTCCCATTCCGTAGGCTTCCTTTTCACTGTTGATTGTTTTCTTTGCTGTGCAGAAGCTTTTTAGTTTTATGTAGTCACACTTGTCTATTTTCGCTTTTGGTGAGTGGGCTTTTGGTGTCATATTCATGAAATCATTGCCACAACCAATGTCATGAAGCTTTTCCCCCATGTTTTCTTCTAGGAATTTTACTGTTTCTGGTCTTGTGTTTAAGCCTTCAATCCATTTAAGTTGATTGTTCTGTATGGTGTAAGATACGGGTCCGATTTCAATCTTTTGCATGTGGTTATCCAGTTTTCCCAACACCATTTATTGAAGAGACTATCCTTTCCCTGTTGTGTATTTTTGGCACTCCTGTCAAAGATCAGTTGATCACTTATGTGTGGATTTACTTCTGGGCTCCCTATTCTATTCCATTGGTCTATATGTCTGTTTTTATGCCAGTACTATACTGTTTTAATTACTATTTCTTTTAAAATATTTTGAAATCAGAAAGTGTGATACTTACAGCTCTGTTCTTTCTCAAGACTATTTTGGCTATTCAGGGTCTTTTGTGGTTGCAAATAAATTATATATATATATTTCTATTTCAGCAAAAAATGCCACTGGGATTTTGACGGGGATTGCATTGAATTTGTAGAATGCTTTCGGTCGTATGGATATTTTAACAATATTAAGTCTTCCATGAACATGGGATGTCTTTCCATTTGTATCTTCTTTAATTTCTTTCATCAGTGTTTTGTAGTTTTCAGTGCACAAGTTTTTCACCTCCTTAGTTAAGTTTATTCCTAAGTGTTTTATTCCTTTTGATGTTATTGTAAATGGGAATGTTTTCTTAAATTTCTTTTCAGATAGTTCATGTTAGTGTATAGAAATGCAACTGATTTTTGTACATTGATTTTGTACCCTGCAACTTTACTGAATTCATTTATTAGTTCTAACAGGGTTATTTTGTGTGTGCAAAGTCTTTAGGGTTATCTTTATATGAGATCACGTCATCTGCAAACAGACACAATTTTACTTCTTCCTTTCTGACCTGGATGCCTTTTATTTCTTCTTCTTGCCTAATTGCTATAGCTAGGACTTCCAGTAATATGTTGAATAGAAGTGGTGATAGTGGGCATCCTGGCCTTGTTCCTGATCTTAGAGGCAAAGCTTTCAGTCTTCATCACTGAGTATGATGTTAGCTGTGTGTTTTTCATATATGGCTT